AGCCTGGGCCTCCCAAAGTGCTGGAATTACAGGTGTGAGCCACCGTGCCCGGCCTAAGGGAAACTTTTTTTTGAGACTGAGTCTCACTCTGTGGCTCAGACTAGAGGGCAGAGAACCATCTCAGCTCACTGCAGCCTCTGCCCCCCGGGTTCAAGTGATTCTCCTGCCTCAGCCTCCCGAGTAGCTGGGATTACAGGCATGCACCACCACACCTGGCTAACTTTTGTATTTTTAGTAGAGACAGGGTTTCTCCATGTTGGCCAGGGTGGTCTGGAACTCCTGGCCTCAGGTGATCCAGCTGCCTTGGCCTCCCAAAGTGCTAGGATTTCAGGAGTGAGCCACCGCGCCCAGGCTGGGTTTTTATACTTTTTATGAGTAGAATCACTCAGTGCGTAGTGTTTTTGACTAGTTTCTTTTGCTTACCTATGTCATTCTGAAATTTGTTCACATCATGTATAGCTGTAGATTGTTCATTCTCCATTGTGTGAGCATACAACCAACTGGCATTTGGGTGGTTTCCAGTTTGGGGCTGTTATATTGCTGCATGAACATTGAGGACATGTCTTTTGGTGAACATATGTTTTGGATTTATATTTCTAGGCAAGGAATGTCTGATGCATATACTTTGCTTTATCAGATATTGCCAAATTGTTCTCTAAGAAGTGGTTATACCAGTTTACACTCCCATGCACGAGGTTCTGATGGTTCCCAACATTTAAGCCAAACACTGCTGATGTTCTGGGGTGGTAGAGCCTGGGGAGGCGGGAAAAAGGACCTGGAGGCCCCTCCCTGCTGGAAACTGCTAATGGCTAGTGCTCAGGTAATCGGGGGCAGATCAATGAACCCACTCTAAACTGCTAAGAGCTTCCCAAATGGCCGGGTGCTCACACCTGCAATCCCAGCACTATGGGGGGCCGAGCTGGGCAGATCACCTGAGGTGGGGAGTTCGAGACCAGCTTGACCAACATGGCAAAATCCTGTCTGTACTAAAAATACAAAATTAGCCGGGCATGGTAGCACATGCATGTAATCCCAGCTACTCAGGAGGCTGAGGTAGGAGAATCGCTTGAACCCAGGAGGCGGAGGTTGCCGTGAGCCAAGATTGTGCCACTGCACTCCAGCCTGGGCAACAAGAGCAAAACTCTGTCTCAAAAA